ACTGTTATTGTTGGAATAAACGCTTGGTCTAATGACACCTGTTCCTGTCCTGTTTTCCAAGCTCCTAATTCTTGTAAGGCTGGACTCTGTAGAAATGGCGGTGTTTGCCACAATACCCCACCCAACGGATTCTTCTGTGAGTGTCGCACCAACGATCTGAAAGGGTTCAGGTGTCAGGGAACAACACGGTCTTTTAACGGAAATGGATACGCGTGGTTCAAGCCCATGCCGGCTTGTACATCACTAAATATATCCTTTCAGTTTATGACGTCGTAAGTTTTGTTTACGTCTGCCTTGTTAAAACTTTCTCACTTATCTCCTTTCTTGATTCTTTCTTTTTTTAGGCAACCTAATGGACTTCTATTGTACAATGGACCAATGGGAAGCAATGTGACTGCTGGACATCTTGACTACAAGGATTATTTAGTTCTTCGTCTTTCTGGTGGACGGTTGGAAGCGGAGTTAATGCTTGATGGAAATGCTACAAATGTTGCCCACTTAGATAGTACAGCCGAGTTGAACGACAACAAGTGGCACACTGTAGCTTTAACGCAGATCGGGAAGGTGCGTTTTTGTTCATACTTCCAAATAGAAGCATTTGCTTATATCTGAGATTTTTTTGTCTTATAAAATTACCTGTAACTTATTCTGCGGATGGTGAACCGATTTCTTTTAAAATACCAACTTTTTAGACTGTTGAATTAGTTCTCGATAATTGCGCTCCTATTGGGTCTTCTATTGGCACTGATTCGTCGTGCAGACGTGTTGTCGTCACTTTAGACGATGATGAACGACTGAACGTAATCACACCGTTACAGGTGCGCAAAGCGTTATCTTTTAATATTTAGATTTTAAAGCTCTCTCCTACGATTTTTAGTTTTCTTGTTGTTTTAGGTTGGAGGACTCGCCCCACTTGATGGTGCAGACAGGTATCCTACCGCAATTATGTCCAAACCCTATACTTACTCTGGCTGCATCCGTGATCTGATGGTGAATGGCGAGAAGTACGACTTGGGAGTTCCCGATTTGGCAGATGAGCAGAATTCGCAGAGAGGGTGTAGCTTGAATACGGCGGCGTGCATTTCCGGTGATGGGGATTACTGTGTGCATGGCGAGTGTATCGCTGATGCCTCGGTTTGTTTTTTTTTTCTTTGAGTAGTGTTTTTAAATGCCTTTGGGCGTTTTTCTGACACTTCAATTTTTCAGTCAGAGATTCCGAAATGTACCTGTGATCCTGGATACAGTGGCGATCGTTGTGAACAGGAGATAGAATGGGTTGAGTTTAGTGGGAATTCGTTGATTGCATACACCGCTGCCGTACAATTAGAAAAGAAGAAATCAGAAATTGAAGTCTTAGTATACCCTGCAAGAAATACAGGAAATGCGACTCTGGGATATGCCTCGGGTAGTAGTTCTTCAGAGGTTCGTTTTCACCTTCTTAATTTTTAGTTTTTCATACGTTACTTAAGTAAAGCTTGTCTACCAAATAATGTTCAAAACTTCTTTGGTTGGAAAGTTTTTCTTTAGTATGTGGGCACTTATCTTAACAGTATGGTCCCAGAAGGTCGTTTTGACTGTGGTAATACTACTACCAATTCATCGGTCGTAGTAAGCATGGAAAACCTGCAACTGTCTAACAATTATTCTTACTGGGTGCAATTTTCTAGAAGTCCTGTCAAGTGAGTTTTCACTTATTTATACTGCATTTCTTACTAGCAGGCGTACAACTTTCGTCTATCAAACCTGTTCCTTCTAGGGCTTCTTTAACAGTTGACGGGACATATTATACCGGTAAACAGTTGGATCCTCTTAAAAAACCATATGAACTTCAGGTTTCAGAGATTTTGTTAGGGGCATCGTCGTCATTAGGTGGAAATTGGTTCCAGGTTGGTTTTTCTAATTGACTGTTTAGTTTATACGGGCAAAAATTTATCAAGTTTTTGATTTTAGGGATGTATTGGAACTTTTCGTTGGGAGCATCAGAACCTGCCGCTCCAGCAGGGTAATGGTAGCTCAGGCTCTTCAGGTGCTGCTGGTAGCGAGGAGATGATTTCAATAAGACAGTCAATAGGTGTGACAAGAGGTTGTAGTTCGAGGCAGACGTGTGCTTTGGCAAGTCTTTCTGTCCTGTTATATTTTTTCTTTCCCAGTTTCGTGCTTTCTTATCGAAGTTTAATTTCTTTTGTTTAGCTTGGTGCTTCGTATTGTTCACCGCCATTTATATGTCTTGATTTTTGGAAAGGTGCATTTTGTACCTGTCCCAAAAACTTGGTACCAGTTCTTGGGCCTGATGGCACTCTTATTAGATGTGGAGAAGCGTTAGCGCTTAGTAAACTGGGGATAACGAATAATGCCATAATCATCATCATGGTTTTTCTTGGTTTATTATTACGTATGTTTTTTTAACTGCCTTGGATTATTTTTTCTTTTCTGCGAATTGTTCAGTAATTGGTTTGGTTTATTCCTTTTAGTGATGGTTCTGCTTATGATTGTTTATTCTCGTCGGCAAGCTCCTCCTTTCGCCCCTGTTCGACCGGTTGAGCTCAATCGGGACAACATAAGGCCGTACGATATTGAAGGAGGCGGTGAAGCAGATAATGACCAGTACGATATCAATGGCCTCAGAAAACCTGTGATGCCTCTTGAAGGAAATGGGCTGGGAGGTTTTGCTCAATCTGTATATCCACCGCAGCGGACTGCGCCAGGTTGGTCTTGCTGGAACTGTCTGGGGATTTTGAAGATGTTTATATACTGTATTTTTTTTCATATTACTTCCAAATCATCTATTTAGATGACAAGATCAACACCCAGATCAAAAGACTTGAAGCCGATCCTGATGCTACTGCTCCATATGATGAGTTGCGTATTTTTGAGGATGAAGGAGATGATGTCTCTAGGTGACTCTTTTTATCTGTTTATTGTTATCGGTTAAACAATCATTGTAATTTCTTCTTTCGTTATTGCCGTTACCAAAATACTTTTTTTTTAGGCTTTCTTTGGAGTCAGTTGAATCTGCTGATGATGCTGCGGTTGTTGGTAATCTCGACCAGCAGGAGGTGATTTTTTTTTTTAAATGATTTCCACTGACAGACTGCACTAGGTCAATGGTATTTTTACCGCAGATTTAGTGTAGTCTGCCTATAGAGGTTTGAAAAGCTTTTTAATTTGCTGATGTTACTGTTGAATTGACTGTTGAATGCTCCTTGAAGATTGGGAAGTGGGGAACACAATTCGAGAAGTTGGCTGACATATACGGCAAACGAGAATAACGCCTTTCGGACCTTATCTCCACTACCAAAATGGGTTTTCACTTTTGTTCCTTGTGACCTCTATTGTTCTCGACGACTTTTTTAACAGAAATATTGAAGAGTTTTATCTTTTGATGGATGTTTTAGGAATTCGCAATTTCTGTATATAGCCATTTTTGTTGCAAATTGTTTTTTTTTCTTTTTTTTTCTTTTTTGTTTTAGTGCAAGCTAAGGCGTTGAACAAGAGTTCCAAAGTTTGTGCCTCTTTGCTTGAAGTTGTTAATTTGAGCTGCAAGTTATTATGATTGTTACCTTTGGAGTACCTTTAAGATTGTTGTTGTTTCTTCTGTTGTATTTGGTGCATTTTTTTGATAACTTGATGGCTGTTCTATAAGTTTTTCTTTTATCCAATTTGAAGTTGATTCTTTCCTAAATTTGACCAGACTGCACGGTGCTTGCCATATTTTAATTTATACCTTTGGAGTCAGGTGGGGTAAAGTTTATTTGGTTATTACTTATCACTGACGTCACAAATTGAAGTAGGTGTTGTTTTTGATATTGAGGGAAAATATTGTTCTATGGTAGCTTAGTTCGTGGATGTCCCCAGATTGAGTCTATAAAGTTAAACTGCGGTTCAGAGGTAAGCTTGAAGTCTAACTGCCATTTCTCATTGGAGCCTCTGGAGGTTCCTCATACTTTTTGAGGTGTATTATGAATGGGGAGCTTTTAATAAGAATGGTTTTTTTTGAATTTTATTTTTTGGCATATAATCTTTATGTCATTCCTTCATTACTTGTTCATATCGTTACTTTTGTTATGGACGTTAGTCTTTCGCCAAGGAAACATTCTGCGTCTTTTTTTTTT